TACAGTTTGTTTGAATCGTGTGGGCTAGGTGTTTCCGCCCACTGCAGTGTACTAGGGAGACACAGACCTGGGCAGCCTATGCTGGGCCCGCCTCTCCAGGTCAGTCAACCTGCTGAAGGCTTCACTGCATTAGGGTGCACTGCCAGGCACAGTGGCCTGGTTTGGGCTAGCCTACTGTGTCTTAGTCTGCGACATCACCCAGGTTAAGCACTACCCACCAATCCTGCTTGAGAGGGGAATATGTGACTGAAGTCACTGCAGCGTCCTGTTCCAGCTAGTCTGCCTGGTCCCAGAATGTTCTCTGTTGGAGCCTCCTAGTCTATGGAAGGGTCCCTGTTCCTCTCACTCACCGCATGTCGATTCAGTGCTCCCCGCCAGCTCTGCTCTCAATTTGGTTTGCCAATTCCTGCTCTCAGAGCTTTCATGTGTGTATCCATGCTGTGCTGATCAGATGCAGCAGCGGTGGCAGAAAGTTCAAGCCGCAATTTCCAGAGGCGCCGGTTCCAGCTTTGGCACTGAGACTTTAGCTGTTCCAGTCCTAGCACCAGGACTGCATTTCCAGTTAGTTTCTCTCAGTTTAGTTCATTCCTGGGTCAACAGGGTGTATCTCCCCCTGCTTAGGACTCCCCATATTGCACCATTCCTGGAATCTAAGCTGGCTATCTCAGAGAGCCTCCATAGCTGCTGTTATCTATCCGCCATGTTCTCCCGGAAGTCCATCGATAAAAATTTTTTAAGAAAATGTTGACTTGTATTATAAAAAGCAAAAAAGGATGTAAACCTATGTATTCAATATAGTTGAATTTTTATAATAATAATCATATGAAGTAAGATTTGGAAAGTATCCTATCAAAATATGAACAGTGGTCATATGTAGAATGAACAATTCTTAGTGTCCTTTATTTTCTTCTTTACATTTGTTTTGTCTTTCAAATTTTTGATAGTAAATCTATAATATTCTTATAATCAAGAAATAAAATCAAATTATTATTTTTGAAAAAAACTTTCCAGAGGAAAGCAGTATACCACAGCTGAACCCAGAGAACACATTTTGCATTTCATTTTCAGTTGCCTTGGGAAAATTTTCAATGTTGGGGAATTTTCTTCGTCGCTGAAAAAACATGATGAAGGCTCAAGTTGGTGACCTTCCCTGCTCCTGAGTGTGAAGGACTGTGGCAGAGTTCAGACAGAGCTCCGGATGAAAGGACCAGAGTCAAAACAGAATAAAAATGCCACAGAATTTCAGTCAGCATTTCAAGGTCAGAAAGGGATCTGAGAAGCTGTCTGGCTTGATCCTTAACCTGGTTAAGAATGTCTTCCTAGAAGAAAGTGGTGGGCCATAGCGTTTGGGACAGGCACCCTTGACCATTCCTCTGTCTCCCCAGATTGTTACTTTGCTTCTACTAAATGCCTTCAATGACTTGTTTCTTCTGATTTTAAGGTGACCAGTTTCTCTGTGACATACCTGTCACTGTTAGCAAAGTTAGCAAGTTGCTAGCATCAAACAGGCAAGGGCATTTGAAGGTGAAGTTAATGGACAGTTAGAGGGGAGGGTCTTTTCAGCTCCTTATCTCCATGACTTGTGATTCCGGGTGCCCCATGATTTTCAGTCAGGGTTTATACCTCCAGCTCTTTCTGTTGACACAACAATCCTCATGGTCACATTAAATTTTTGTTTAGCAAACAAAGATGTGTATTCCCAAAGAGTAACTTTAAGCTAAGGTTTTTTGGAAATAAAGTGTATGTCTGTGATCAACACCCAGCCCATTTTTCTTTCCAGTTTTGTTTATGTAAAACTGAAAGAGAACAGGTACCAAGTCAAGGATTATTTGTCCTGACTTCCCAGCATCCAATTTCTCTCCTGTATGACCTTCTGGCTTCTTCTGTAAGTTTCTGTCACTCTCTGCCTCTGTGTCCCTCATCTTCTCTTGTTCAGCTTGTATTAGGAGTCCTGGACTCCAGTTTCCACATGGTCACTTCCTGTGTGACCTGGGAGAAGCTATAACCTTCAAGGATGTGACCCAAGCAATATGCGGGGGTTTTCTAGGAGGTGACCCAAAGGAAAAATCCAGGGGAGTGCTATCTTTATCCTTTGTAGGAAGACCCTTTGTAGGAGGTGTTCCATGGCAGTGATGAGCCTGGGTTGGGCTTGGGCAGACATCAATTTTTAAAAATTTTTATTAGTACACATTTATTTGCAGTACATAATGATTGCATTCACTGCTGGAAATTGACACATGCACTGAACACATCTGAATTCTTTTTATATCTCCTTTCCCTCCCTTCCTTCTTTCCCAATCCACCCATCTCTTGATTCCCTTCCCATTTGCAAAAGATCTATTCCCGCTTCCAATAACCTATCTTTGTTTTGCTCTGCAATTTATTTATATTTTGTGTTTTTCATATAAGACAGACCATGTGATATTTAAGCTTGTGCAATCTGATTTACTTCACCATTATGGTCTCATACACACAGGAAAGGAAGTTGAATGTCATTCCCTCCCTTTTTAGCAACTTGAAAACCCTCTTTAGTGTATATTGTAAAGGATCATGGGTGGTGGGGGGAGTACCTGGTTTACATGCATGATGAAATCAAATATTTGAATGAAGGTGGTCTGGCTGGAATTAAGTTTAGAAAAATTAGATGCTGTTGTACAAAAGTTGGATTGCTGCTTTCCCAGCTGGATTACTATTTGGGGATTAGATTCCTTGCAAGCATGTTGGCTTGCTCCCTACTTATCCTTTCTTTATTTTCTAAATTATGATAATCTCCTGTAAGTTGATCCTGGCTGTGTACAGTATCTTCCTGATCCTGCTGGGCACAGGCCTCTGAGGGCACATGAGCCCTCTGTGTACAGGCTGCCAGTAGAGGGCCCATCTCTTCAGCCCCCCAGCAACCAGTTTATAGAAGTCCTCACCAGGGTCCTTTGAAGGCAAATATGAGGTGGTTACAGCTGGTAGTGTCCTCCAGAGTTGTCTAAAGAGGAGGAACAGTGGTACTAAACACTAAATCTCAAAAACAATGGTTTAGTTTTTCTGATAGTATAGAAGATTGATTCAGATCTGTGAAAATTGTTTCTCTTAAGATCTATGGAACATCTAACATTTTCTTTCAAGGTACTGATTAAAAAAACAGTTTGGAACTTTGAGGGTACATTAAAATATACATATATATTTCATGACTAACTAGAGAACTATTTGCTCTTTTAAAATGCCACTGAAACCAAGCATGGTGGCACATACCTGTAATCCCAGCACTGTGGGAGCCTGAGGCAGGAGGATTGCAAGTTCAAGTTCAGCCTGAGCTATTTAGTGACTAAGAAGACCCTGTCCTATGCATTCATATATCTATGCGGGGCCAGGGCTGTAGTTCAGTGAGAAGGCCCCAGGTTCAGGTCTTAGCACTAGAAAAAATCAGTGAAACAAAGAAATAAGAGTGTATTATCTGTCCTTGGGAAAGTCGTTTAGCTTCACTGTCTCATTTTTTTTTTTTTTACAAAAGCATAAGTTGGGGGGGGGTGCTGGGGATATAACTCAGCAGCACAGCACCTGCCTGGCAAGTACAAGGTACTGAGTTCAATTCCTGATGCACACACATCCACAACCACACACACACACACACACACACACACACACAAAGTACAAAAGACTAAATTGGAATAAGAGTAAATTGAAACCCTTTTGAGGGGCAGGGCTGGGTCTGATTCTTTTTTTCCTTTTCCCTTCTTCCTTCACTCTTGAGATTTAGGTTGTTTGTTTTGTTTTTGGATAAACTAGATTATGGTTCCAACACTTCACCTTTTCTAACTTTCCACAAGTCAATGTCACATATACTGGAAAACGTCACATATACTGAATGGAGCTCAGTCAGGAAGCTCCAGCGAAATTTATGCTACTTTGGTGTGGTTCAAAGGGATTGTCCCAAATGTCCATAACAGGTGATAAGGGTAGCAGTTGTCATTTTCTGGATGTCCTGTGCAGCTGGCACTCACAGAATCTTTGGGGTTATCCAGTGTCTCTTCTCTTAAAAATGAAGCAAACCTTTCTGTGATGCTTCATTTTCTCTTCGGCTACTGTCCTGTTCAGTCCTTTCTCTTCACAGCTTGAAGGTTTGAAAGAGTCATCAGTTTTTGTATAGAAAATCCTATTCTTGCCCATATGGTCCATCAGAAGAGGTTTGCTTTCACCTAGCAAGGCCAGAAATATACCTTCACTGTCCTGCCTCAGGGGCAGTTCAATTCTTCAGCCTAGGTCCCAACGTAAGTATGCTTCCTTTACCCTCCCACAATATATCACCTGATCATTGCACTGATAATATTATGTAGGTCGGACTTAGTGGGAAAGAAGCACCAACTACTGTAGACTTACTGAGAAGTCACCTCTATATCCGAGGGTGAGAAGCAAATCAGACTAGAATGTATGGGTTTCTGCCTTGGTAAAATTTCTAGACGTCTAGTGGTATGGGACTGTGCAGAGCTATCCCTTCTGACGTGAAGGGCACATTTTAATATCTGAACTTTCTACAACAAGGAAGGAGGCACAATGCTTAGTGGACCTCTTTGGATTTAAAAGCAGAATGGAGGTGTTACCCCAACAGGGGAAGACTCTGCAATTGGTCCAGGCCTCTGTCCTCGTTGCTCTACTGCGTGGGCCATGTGATCCAGCAGACCTAGTGGTGCTTGGAGTGTGAGTGACAGGCAGGGATGCTGTCTGGACCTTTGTCAGGTCCCTATGGGTGAACTGTAGAGCTGTGGTAAAGCCTTGCCTTCATCCACAGGAGAGTGCATTTCTTTTGAGAAAGAGCTCTTGACCTGTTACAGGGATTTAGTGGAGACAAAAGCTTAACCCCCTGAACCAGAAAGCTGGGCATGTGTGTTAGTTCTCCATCATCAGATGGAAGAGCTTGCTCGGGGACAGGCCTAAGTTCACCCTGAAGGCACAAGTAGGTTCTGTGAGGAAGGGACTCAAATGCCCGTGGTCCTCCCTCCTGTGCAGCCTACCTGTGACCTCCAGGAAGCTCCCTGTGGCCAGTTGTCCGAAGAAGACCTTGAGCTGAAAGTAGACAGCTGCTGTATCACAGCCCCACTCTGGGACATGGTTGATGGAAACAGTGAAGGGAAATCTTGGCAGGTAGCACCTTGGGCAGTGCATCTGGTTGGCTCTTTGCTTGGAAGAAAAAATGGGCCAGATGGGTGATTGACTCTGCTTCGACAGGTTTGGCTGGATGATCTGAGAGTTGGAAAGGCTGTGATTTTAAAAATGATAGTGAGTAATTTGAGGAAGAGGTATATGGATAGATCTCTCTAAATGGGCAAAAAGCATGATATTTCTTTCCCATGTGAAGCTCACCAAAGGCTGCCCTCAGCACCGCAGGATTTTAATAATCAAATGAGTAGGATGATGCATCTGTGGGTACTCACCAGCCTCTTCTCCCCTCGGTCAGCCCTGTCATTCATTGCCCAACAGGATCATGTCCACAGCAGTGAAGTCGGAGGTTACGCGTGGGCTCAGCAATGTGAGCTTCCGTGCACCATCCTGGGGAGGGCACCCAGGGCCTCAGACCTGCTTGGTGTGCACTCTGCTGCCACCAGAGCCTGCCTGCTGTTATCTTATTTGGAGATTCAGCTTGGTTCAAAAAGATGCCAAGTTGGACTTGTGATAATTAATTTTATGCATCAACTTGACTAGGCTAAGGGGTGCCCAACTAAAACGTTTTTCTGAATATGTCTGTGAGTGTAATTCTGAACAAGCAGAACAAGTAGAATGTGTAAAATAGATGGCCTTTGTTGGGATGATGGCACATGCCTGGAATCCTGGAACTTTGGGAGGCTGAAGTAAGAGAATTGCAGCCTGAGCAATTAAGTGACTTAGCAAGACTGTCCTGAAATTAAAATATAAAAATAAAAAGAAGGATTAGCTCAGCGAAGAAGCTCTGAGTTCAATACCTAGTGTTGTAAATAAAAGAAGTGGACGAGGATCAGGAAAGAGGTAGTGATGGTGGTCCTTGCCAGCATTGGAGGGTATCATCAAATCTGTTGGAGGCCCCAATAGAACAGAAAGATGGAGGAAGAGGAATCTGCCTCCTATTTAAGCTGGGATGACTCTTTATCCTGTCCTTGGGCCTTAGACAGCTCTCCTGGCTCTACAGTTTGCAGGCAATGAATCATGGGACTTCTTGGCCTTCAGAAGTGTGTGAGCCAGTACCTTTAACAGATCTGTGTGTGTGTACACGTGTGTGTGTGCATGCATGTGCATATTCCTGTTAGCTCTGTTTCTCTAGAGACCCTTAATACATCTGACAACTGTGTGTCCTTCTCAGTAGAATGCCTCTGTGTTTCAGCCCATTTTCAAATTGCATTGTTACTAGTGTTACTAGTGTTACATATGAGAACTCTATAAATGCTAGCTATGAGTTATTTATCAGATATGTGGCTTGCAAATGTTTTTCCCCTCAGTTTTTAGTTTGTCCTTTTATTCTTTTTTTTGTGTGGCGCATATGTGTGGCACTAGGGTTGAACTCAGAGCTTTCTCATTGAGCTACATGGTCTTTGGTCAGCAAAAGGAGTTTTTAAAGTACTAGGGATTGATCCCAGGGGCTCCTGCAAGTGCTCTACCACTGAGTCACATCCTCACACTTCATTTTGAGACAACATCTCATTAAATTTTTTGGTTTGGCCTTGAACTTGCGATCCTCCTGTCTCAGCGTCCTGAATAGCTGGTGTTATATGTGTGCACCATTGTGCCTGGCTAACAGATTCTTTTTTTTGAAGATGGTGATTGGACTCAGAAAGTGCTCCTTTTTTTTAAAATTTTAGGCAAGTGTCCTTGCACTGAGCTACATCCCAAGCCCTCCTTTGGACTGAACTCAAGGCCTCACACTTTGTAGACACCGAGCTACACCCCAATGTTTTCTTTTTTTTTTTTTTTTTTAAATTTATTTAAAGAAAAGGAAACGAAAAAAAAAAATACATGGAGATTAAAAAAAAAGGGTAGAAATAATTCTAAATTACAGACAAACAAAAGGTAAGAAATTGCCAGTTGATAAGTTACAAATTGTCATCTTCGAAATGGCTGTTCAGGTTATAGAATTAAAGTATATAGAATGACATTCAAAAAAAAAAATGACCCTACAAACCATTCTGCTCTATGGCCGAACAAAAGCTCCGTAATATGATTATCAGTCCCACCTATTTGTTTTACACCTCTAAGAGGATAAGGTTAACCATATCAAAACAGAACAGAACATTTAAAAAAAAATAAAAAACAATTTAAAGAAATACAGATTTCAAAGCAAGTCCACTGGAGATCTACCTTATCTAACTGTCTCTAGCTTCTTACAAATAGTTGTCCCTAACTTCACCCACTTTCTATACTTATTGCATATTATAGAACTAATCAAATCATTACAGGATGATGGAGTCTTTTTAGGTCCTCAAGTTCCAAATTAGGGAAGACAATACCAACTACCATCGCATCTCTCATTCTCTTTGTGATAGCCGTCCCCATCTCTGCATATGCTGAAGTTGAGCTGAAGAAACCAGTCCAGAGTCATTTTAATCAGCAAGCAATAGATTGCTGGAATTTATATTATAATGCTACAAAATAAGCCTCGGGTTTTTCAGGTCTCTTTCTCAGAGTATTTGTTCCTAACTTCTCTGTATTATAGGGAAAACCAAGTCATAACAAGACAACGAAACAATTTCCTAGATAAGCATGCAATGGATAGGACTTATAAAACTATAATATAAATGATCTTCCGTAGCTACTATGTTTTCTCTTGTTATTTTCAATAGATTTGTCGACAACACTGGCTTATTATAGTTAAACATACTATCACCTATTTTTATAAAAACTTATCTTTGACTGCATTGTAGTATTTGAGAGCTGTTACTGATTCATACCAGTATGGATATCCTTTACATCCTGTCATGCTCAGAGTAGTTTCCTCTACTTTTAGGGTTGATTCTAACACGCATACCGATTTCAAATAGGATCAGTCAAGGCCAACCAATAGTCTTATGATTCAGATACAATTAAGATCAGTCATAGTAAGACAATGTAAGTAATACAGAATTTCAGCCTAAGTCAATAGGAAAGTAAGGATAGTTGCCGTGGTATAACCTGCTATTTTTGGTTCTAGAGGTCTGTGTCCTCAAATCTGATATGAGTGGACAGACCAGAACAAATTTAATTCAATCTAAATATGTCACTAGGACTACTGTGTCTTTTAAATCGTTATACACCATTAGCAATGACCTCTGCTTTTTTTTTTTTTTTAAATATAGTTTCAGAGCTGTCTCTACTAAAGACTAGCTTACCGTCTCTGCCTCATGTCTGCTACTCCACTTTTCTACTATAATTTGTCCACCTTATTCCCTCATTCCATGGTCTGCCCCGTTACTGAGGCTTCTCTGCCACTGTAGCTGTAATCCTGATATCTCTTCCTCTCTTTCTCTGTAATGTCCTTCAGCGCTAATGTTTTCTTTTATGACACTTCACGTGTCATGCCTAAGAAATCTTTACCAGGCCCTCTATTCCGAAATGTTCTACTGTATTTCTTCTAAAAGCTCTATAGTGTTGCATATTAAATGGACCTGTGACTCATTTAAAATTTTTATTTTATTATTTTACTTTTTGCAGTGTTGGGGATTAAACCCAGGACCTCCTGCATGTTAGGCAAATGCTTTACCACTGAGTTACACATACAAGCCCTTGAATTAACCTTTTGTTTGTTTCTTTTTGAGACATGATCTCAGTGTGTAGCTCAGGTTAGCTTGGAACTCACTACGTAGTGCAGATTGGCCTTGAATTTGTGGCAGCCCTCCTGCCTCAGCCTCCTGAGTGCTGGCATTACAGGGATGTGCCACCTTGCCCAGGTCCTTGTATTAGTTTTTGTGTGAAATATGAGGGGTTTAAGTCACGGTTCAGTTTTTGGTCTATTGATATCCACTTGGTCCATGACATTGCCCAGAAGACTTGCCTTCCTCTCCCTGCTCAGTTATCAAAGACCAGTTGGCTGGGCTCGGGCAGAAGCCTACTTCTGGCTTCTCCCTGTTCCCACTATGCTGCTTACTGTGACCATTCAGCCAGTCTGGAGGGGAGCTGCATGGCTTCTTCACTCACCCTTGCCAGTGGCCCTGGCTGGGAGGCACAGCAATGTCCCCACTACCCTCTGCGGGACTCTACTCCGCCATGTCAGGGCGGCGGCCTCATCCCCAAGGACAGGGTGAAAGGTTCAATCAGCTCTCTTCAGTCCTCCAGTGAGGTGGGGGAGGGACCCTTATTACTGGACAGTGGGTGAGAGTGCAGGGTCTCTACTGAGCCTTCACTACCGTTTGTGTCATTTGTCACAGCTGGGTGAGGGTGGATGCCTGGACTCCCTGTGGGTGGTGTTAATTGGTGTAGGGTGGAGGCACAGGGCCATGGGTTTTTCTGTGATATTTACTGTATTACAGCAATAATATCTGGATGTTTTCTTTCTTGCTAGACTGCCGCTGTCCTGACCCTTGACTAGAGAGGGCGGCTTTGTTTAGGGCTTTTGGTTAACACGTGTTCTGGCTTCTGCAGTGCTGGTCTGGAATCTATGAGCAAACAGAAGGATCTTGAGGACTCTGCTCTTTGTGTAGTTCCTTAGAAAATCCCTAGAAAATCTATTTTTTTTATCTTCCAGTTTTCTTGTGTTTGTTATACATTTAATATGTCCTGTTTTGTTTTGTGGCACTAGCGGTTTAACTCAAGAGTGCTCCACTATGGAGCTATAACCTCCAACCCTTTTTATTTCTTGCAACCAAGTCTTGCTAAATTGTCCAGGCTAACCACACATTGTGATCCTCCTGCCTCAGCCTCCTGAATAATTGGAACAACAAGCTTGTGCCACCATGCCTGGCTATCCAGGGTTTTCAGTTTTACTTGTTAGGAGGAAAAAGTATTTCTGGATCATGTTTCCAGATGCAGGAACCAGAGTAATAGCTTTAAAAATGTGAACCAGGCATTAAAATGGCTTCATTTCCAAGGGCTTCCTAATGCTATTAGGGTAAAACCTGTGTGTGTGTGTGTGTGTGTTTTGAGACAGGGTCTCACTATGCAGTTCACACTATGCAGTACTCACTTTGTAGCCCAGGCTGGCCTCAAACTCCTAGCAACACTTCCTGCCTCAGCCTCCTGAGTGTCGGGATTACAGGCATGTGCTACCACACCTAGCCCAAAATTTCTTTTTGGGAAATCAGACCTCAGCTGGCTTGGCCATGGCACACCCTTGACGGCCCTCCCACATACTCCACCCACCCCTCTCCACAGGGTAGCCGCACCAGCCTGCTGGCTGCTTGAATACCCTAACCTTGCCAGGTGTTATGGCTTAGATCTAACGTGGCCCCCGATCCCCTGTGTTGTAGGTAACTGGATAGGGAGTGTTGTAAGTGACTTGTTTGGTGGGGCTTGGTCAGAAGAGCTGGTTCCT